AGGGCATTTGTCATAATATATTAAAATAAATAAGTAAATAAATAAATAAATAAATAATTTATTTATTTATTTCAGAGAGAAGGAAAGGGAGATAGAAACATCTATGATGAGAGAGAATCATCGATCTGCTGCCTCCTGCACACCTCCTCCTGGGGATCGAGCCCACAACCCAGGCATGTGCCCTTGACTGGAATTGAATCCAGGACCCTTCAGTCTGCAGGCCGATGCTCTATCCACTGAGCCAAACCAGGTAGGGCTTGTCATAATCCCTGAGCTTCACCAGGGCTGAGGCCAGGTCCATCTTGTTTGTAGCTGTATTCCCAATTCCAGGCATGGCATGTGACACGCGGAGGATGCACAAACATCGAATGCATGGTAGACAGACGTAGCGTTAATAGGAGCTAACAGTTACTAAGTGCTTATCCTTGCAATAGCCCAGTGAGTTAGGACAAATTACCATGCCCAGTTTACCGACACTGAAAACGAGGCTGAGAGAAATCAAGGTGCTCATGTAAGGTCACTCCATGGCAGAGCCTATTGGGAAGAGCACGCTGAATGCTGATAGACGGAATGACTGGGGAGAGGCAGAGAATGCTGCAGACTTCAGTCTGAGATGTGCACTTTCAGAACCAGTTCGTTCGTTCGTTCGTTCGTTCGTTCGTTCATTCGTTCATTCGTTCATTCATTCGTTTATTTGTTCAGTAATTATTGAACTTCTGCGCCTGTGCTGGGTATTGGTAGGTACAAGCGACCAGGCAATCATGATATTGTGTAGTCAGAGCTGGGATGGGAAAGGCCCAGAGGGCTGTGGGCAACCACAGAAGCCCTGAACCAAACTGACCTTTCTGAGTGAGGCGGACCTGGAACAGCAGGTTTGCGTGGCCAGGCAGACTACGGGGGAGATGCTTTGAAATGGGTGGGTGGCAATGGCTGCGCAAGTCCACGATGGAGGTGGCACCAGCGTCTGGCAGTGACAGCCAGTCCTCTGCCAGGCTGCAGGGCCTCCTCCCCGCCATTGGTGGACAGGCCCCTGTGGGTGCCTGCGTCACACTGCCCTCCCCCAGGCCTGGAGCTCTGCCACACCTCAGGCCAGGTTTTGCAGGCATTCCTATTCACCTGGGCCCAGAGTGGGAGCTCAGAGAAAAGCAGGTGACGTGGGCCAAACCAAAGGCCAGGTGCCCCACTCTGCCTGTGACCCCAAGCCTGTTCCCTTCTGTGGTCCTCAGTTTCTTCATCTGTAACAGGCCGTTTAAACTAGAAACTCTCTGCAGACCCTTCATCACTCACCTCTTGTGACCCAAAATGTTACTGTCAGTATTGGCAGTACTATGAGCCCTTTTTGCTTCAATCCCAGCCTCCCCTGGACATCTGGACTAAAGTTTAAAAAATATATATCCAGGGGTTCCACTGAATGATTAGTGAGACAACCTACTATGTATGTCCTTTTGGCAGGTTCCTGGTGTGGGAAGGAGGAACCACTGCCCTCTAGGATCATGATTGCCCACCCCACCCCCATGCTGGGCATTGTGGGAAACTTTCTACCCAGCATGCTCTGGGGCAGGACCCCTGCTAAAGGATGCCACTGAACAGGACAGAGGTCCAGGGATCTGTTTCCACAGAAGTGGGGATGGGCCATAGCAGGCCATTTTACTCCGTGGCTCAGCCACCTCCACTTTGGGTGAGAGGCTGAGATGTGGCTGGAGTAGAGTGAGCTGATACATGGAGCTAAAACCAAGGCCTCTTTCCTGCAAGACCCTTAATCATAGACTCGGACTGTAGCTGCCCTCCAGTTCTCGTTTCCTCTCCGCTCCTCAGTGTCTCCCCTATTTAAAACTCACCAGTGGCTTCCCTTCACATATAAAATGCAATCCAGCTGAAACCGGTTTGGCTCAGTGGTAGAGCGTCAGCCTGCAGACTGAAAGGTCCCGGGTTCGATTCTGGTCAGGGGCATGTACGTTGGTTGCGGGCACATCCCCGGTAGGGGGTGTGCAAGAGGCAGCTGGTTGATGTTTCTCTCTCATCAACGTTTCTAGCTCTCTATCTCTCTCCCTTCCTCTCTGTAAAAAATCAATAAAATATATTTTTAAAAAATAAAATAATAAAATAAATAAAATAAAATGCAATCCAAAGTTTCCCCCATGGTTTCCTGTCTTCCCACCCCTCCTCACCTCACTGTAAGTCACACTGGCCTCCTTTCAGCTTTTAGAAAATGTCAATGTCTTTCCCACCTCAGGGCTTTTGCACATGCTGTTCCATCTGCCTGGAATGCTCTTCCCTCATAACATAGCATAGTTGGCTCCTTTTCATTTAAATCACAGCTCAAATCTACCTCCACAGAGGGGTCTTTCCTCATTCCCATCCATTATTTGTTTTCACAGCTCCCCATTTCCCTCATGGCCCTTTCCCCAAGTTATAATCATTGATAGTTGGTTTGTTCAATGAATAACCTCCCCCCCCACACACACACACATCAGTAAGTTTCAAGAGGGCAAGGACCTTGGTATCCCATGGCTATCTCCCCAGTACCTGGTGCATAATGGCTGCTTAAGAAATGTTTGTTGCATGAATGAAACATGAAAAGTGTCAACAACGCTCATCCTCTTCCTTGAATACTTTGCAGACTCTATGAAGGAGAAAATGGCATTTATTGGTTATCTGTTATATACCAGGCTCTCTCACACTTTATTCTGCTGAGCTTTTACATCCATGACACTCTGTCCATTGTACAGACAATGAAGTTGGGGTTCAGTGAGCAAAGGGTGGACCGATGGGTTAATTCAGTGAGGAGGCAGCCAATGGTTATGAAGGGCATGAAGAATGCCATGGCATATAAGAGTGGTCAGGATGTAATCCCATGTCTGTTTGACTCTACCCAAAGCCCACGTACTCTTCACTATACCACACCTCTGCCACACTAGAACACAGCCCAAGATTGACAACCATGTTTTCAGATTCTGAAAGGCAGAGTAAGATACCCAGATTACATGGAGAGGCTGTCTGGCCTAATGTGGGTCTTGGAACTGACAAAGAGACTTGGTCTCAAATGGGGACCCTACCACCTAGGCACCAGGGCCTCCTTGCCTAGAGGGATCGTTAGCATTGCTGGCTGAGGGGGGGCCGCTGTGGGGACATTAAGGGGGATATTGGAACAGTTGGGGCACGGGTTTCCCAATCACACAGGAGCCCCCGCAGCCCCCGGAGTTGGGTGTCCCTTGGGTGGAGCCTCCCCCTCTCTGAGCCCCAGTGGTCATCTCTGAAAAATGCCAGTACAGAACCAAAAAGAGCTCTTAGGAAGATCAAGAGGAAAAAATGACTGTGGAGTTGTTGGAATATATATAAAGTAACATGGAAATGTAAATTATCTAAAATTAAGTCAATGTGAAATGCAGAGAGAGATCGGTACTTGGACAACCCCTCGGGTTCTTTCAGCATTTATTGGCACCTACTGTGCGCCAGGTGTTGTGTTAGGGCCCAGGGTATGGAGATGAGTCAGACATGGGTCCTGAGCTCCCTGTCTGGGGAAGGGAGCTGGGCACATACAGCGCTGGGATTCCTCCCAGCAGGATGGTAGGGGGAGACTTCCTGTGTGATGTGGTTGCGAAAGCTAGACCTGAACTGAAACCTTCCTCTCTTCCCCAAATGACCTTGAATAGGTCAGGCCATCACTCCAACGCCCTAGGCCTCTATCTGTAAAGACAGGCCTGCCCCCTTGGCCTCGCAGAGTTGCCAGGACATGGTACACTGTAGGTACCAGGGGGGACCTTGGGATGGGGGTAGCCAGTAGTTCCTAGGCAGGAAATGGTCCTGCACTGGCCAAAATCTGGGCCTCGGGCCTGAGTGATGACTTGCAGGAGAAGCCTGAGAAGGCGTGGGCTAGACCCCAGGGAGCAGCAGGGAGAGAAACACAGCAATTCCTCATGACCTGTTAAGAAAGGAGGGCAGAAGTTCTGGGGAATTGGCCTGTACCTTTATTTATGTTGGTAATTTCATTAAGGAGGAGGGGGCTGGCTCCACTCAGGCTCAGCCCTGCCCAGGGGGAGGGGGATGGCAGGCCACCTGAATTTACTCAGCAAGATTCTAGGCCAAGGTGCACCCACGAAGACAGGCTATTTCAGACTGAATTTATGGGTGTGTTGAATGTCGCCTAAAGCCTTGGTGGCGTTGGACTGAGAGAGGGCAAGGGCCAGTGTTTAGACTTCCTTGGGGCCTGGGGCTGTCCCCACAGCAGTGGGACTGGCAGAAGCAAGGTTAGCAAACTTTAGGGAATTTGGGGTAAGGTTGAAGGAAGTTGGGGGGCCCTAAGGGCAGTGGTTAGGGGTTCCCCTGGAGAACACTGCTCTTCTGGCTCTGGGCTCGAACCAGAGAGGTCAGACCAGTCGCAGGGACTGCCAGTGCCCGGCTAAGTCAGCCGGGGCCGCCCACTGGGGGAGGCAGGGACGCTCGTGGCCGGGCGGGGTCTGTGCCCTACTCCCTGTGAGACCGCAGGTCCAGACAGAGTGTGGCCTGGGAGGCTCGGGCCAGGCCTGGCCAGAGGAAACTCAGTCCCTGGGCTGAGCACTGTGCGCCTGCGGCTCCTGTCCTCTCTGTGGCTGCGGGCGCGGCAGCCCCCGCGCCCCCAGGGGCCGGGCCAGGGCGGAGGCTGGGCCCCGCGGGCGGGCGCGGGAGGGGGGGGGGGACGCGGCGAGGGCTGCGACGCTCTAACAGGTGGGATCCCGCGGCGTGGTGGAGGCGGGCGAGGGAGGAGGAGGAGGAGAGAAAGGAGGAGGAGGAGGAGGAGGAGGAAGAGCAGCGGCAGCGGGAGCCCGAGCAAGAGCAGGATGAGCCGTGAGAACTGACAGCCGCCGCCGCCGCCGCCACCGCCGCCGCCCGCGCCCAGGCTCGGTCTCGCTCCCCGCGCCCCGGGCCGCTCCCCGCCTCCCGCCTCCCCCGGCCGCCCGCGGGGCGGCCCGCCCCCTCTGCACCTCCGGGCCCCGAGCTGCCTCCATCGCTCCTGCATCCCGGCCGGGGGGGAGGAGGAGGCGGAGCAGGAGGCGAGCCGGAGCCGCCGCCGCCAACGCCGCCGCCGCCGCCCGAGCAGGACAGAGCGCGTTGCAGCCCCGTGCGTCCGGCCGCCGCCCGTGCCCATCCAGCAGCCGCGCCGGAGCCACACCGCGGGACAGCCCCGGCCGCGGCGCGCCCCGGCCCGGCCGGCCCAGCCCAGCCCAGCCCAGCCCAGTCCCGGCACCGGGCGGCCCGGCGGCCGGCCCGCCCCCGAGGGCGCCGGGCGCGGCGAGAGGATGCCGAAGCCGACGCTACTGCTGCGCGGGGGCTGGGAGCGCGAGCGCAGTCCCGGGGACTCCGAGCTGGGCCGCCAGTTCCGGGACTGGTGCCTGCGCACCTACGGCGACTCGGCCAAAACCAAGACGGTGACACGCAGCAAATACCAGCGGATCACCGAGGTCCTGCAGGGCGGCGGCGGGACCGGCGCGGGCAGCGGCCCGGCGGCCGGCGAGAAAGGCAAGTTCCAGTTCTGGGTGCGCTCCAAGGGCTTCCGCCTGGGCAGCGGCCGGGAACCCAAGATGGGCCAAGTGGTGTATGTGCCGGTCAAGACGGGCTCGGTGAGTGCGCGCGCGGCGGCCGCGGGCCGGTCCCGCCGCGGGGCCCCGGGTGGGCGGGGGCGGGGTGTGGGTGTGGATGTGTGTCCGAACCTGTGTCCCCGAGGCTTTCCGTGGGTCTGGCCCGCCCGAGACGCACGCTTCCCTGCTCGCCCGCCCGCCCCGGCCCGCCCAGGCGGCGCTCCGGGTTCGGGCTGTCCCTGCCCGCCTCTGCGCCGCTGCCCGGCCCGTGGGCTTGCGGAGCGGGCCGTCCCGGGCTGCTCACCCCAGTGTGTTCCGTCCTCCTGTCCCCTCCCCCCGCCAGCAGGCGGCTTCTCCGAAGCCCGAACCCCCCCTCCCCGCCCCGCTGCCCGCCCCGGGGCTGCCTGTCCCGGGCGCCTCGCGCTCCCGCCCCCGGGCCGGCTGGGCGGTGTGTGTGTGCGTGTGCCTGTGTGTGCGTGTGCGTGTGTGTGTGTGTGTGTGTGTGTGTGGAGGGTGGTGCCGCGGGCGGGGGGCAGGGGCAGCCACGGGACGGGGAGTCCACTCGCCTTTCCATTGCCCGGGGAGGGGGCTCGCCCGGGCGCTGTCTCCCCGACCCCGCCCGGGGTTGGCTCGGGGAGGGGCAGCCTGAGCCGCAGCCTGGCGCAGGAGCAGCTTCCCGCGGGTGGGTGGGGCGCCCCCTCCGCCCCCCGGGCCCCTGGCTTCCCCCTCCCTGGGACGGGGGCGGCCTGACCTATCCATCCCTTCCCCTCCCCCGTCCCCGGGGCAGCCGGTCCGGGCGGGGTGGCGTGGGGGAGGGGGCGGGGAGCCGCAGCCTCCGGGAGGGAGGGAGGCGGGCGGCCGGGCGGGGGCGTCCCCTCCGGCCCGGGGCGCCCTGGAGAGGGCGTGCGGCGCGGGCCCCGCGGCTCCCCCGCCGGGACCTCATTGTTCTGCGGCGGGTGGGGGCTTGGGGGGGGGTCGGCTGCTCCCGGGGCGCTGCTGAGCTTTGAACTTTCCGTCGCGGAGACCCTCCGTTAGTGCGTTCAGCCCCCGGCCCTCTCGGGCCGGGCCGGCCTCCCTCCCTGCCCCCCTCGCTCCCTCCTTGGCCTCGCCCGGCCCGAGTGAGCGAGCGGGGCCACCCCGCGCCGGCCTCCCTCCCTCGCTCGCTCTCCAGCTCCCCCCTCCGCGCTCCTCCCCCGTCCGGCCCGCCCGCCCCGCGCTCTGCCCGGTCCCCGGCCGGAGCGGGCTCTTCACACACAATTGATTCGGTCGTTACGAAAAGTGCACTTGTCCCCTCCCCCTCCCCTCCCCCTCCCCCCTGCGGCCGCCGGGCCCGGCCCGCGGGGTGAGGGGGCCGCGAGGGAGGGAGGGAGGCGGGAGCCGGGGAGCGGATCCGGAGGCGCCTTCCCCCGCGCCTGGGGGCCGGGGCTGCAGGCCGCGGGGAGTGGGGAGCCGCGAGCGCGGAGGGCGGGCGGCCCATCTGCGAGGAGCGCTGATAACCGCGCTGCCGCCGCCGCGGCCGCCAGCAGCCCATCTGCGCCGCTGCCGCCTCGGGCCGGACCCGGAGCACAGGGCCGGGCCGAGGGGCGCGCCGCGGCCCATCCTCCGAGGGGAAGGCTGGGGCCGTGTCCCATCTTCCTAGTCAGGGACCCCTTTGACCTAAATCAGTGCTCTCCCCAAACACGGGGAGTCTGGGTCATTGCCCCCTCCCCGATCGAGTCAGGGATCCCTCCCTCCCTCCCCCAGCCTAAATCAGTGCTCACTTTCCCACCGGGGGAGCATGGGCATTGCCTCTCCCCACCCGAACAGTTCTTACCCCTCCTCGGTGCTCCCCCACCTGGGGCTAATGTCCCCAGCCTAAGTGTGGGTTTTGCAGGTCACTGACCCACCAGATGGTTGGCTGGGTCTGTGCCCCCCACGCTGGGTCATTGCCCTGAGCCATCTAGGCTTCCCAAATCAGTTTGTGCCCCCTCCCACCCCATCCCCCCCTCCCACACACATATCAGGGTTATTCCTCACTAGGGAGCTGGGAGTCTTGGCCCCATCTCCTTCTTAGTCTGAGGCAGGAGCCCCCACTCCTGGAGTTGGGGGGCAGGTGACCCTCAGACTTGGCAGCTGGTTCATAGATTCTCTGTGTGGGTTGACCTCTCCTCTAGGGAGTGGCCATCATGGGGCAGTCCTCTTAACCCCTTAGCCAGACAGCTGTCAAGGTGGAGCAAGAACACACTCGCCCATACAGGCCACATGCAGAAATTGGGTGCTAGGTCTGGGCCTGGGTTCTGCCAGCCCAGCCAGTCTTTTCATAACCTTCCAGAGGCCCACACTGACCCCCCTGGCAGCACGGGCCTCAAAAGCCTCCGCCTGGCTTCCAGACCAATAATAAGCCTTCCCCCAGGGACCACCTGCCTGGGAGGCAGAGAAGGGGACCTAGGCCTCCCTGCCCAGGCTGCCAGGAAGACGACAAACACAACAGACATGCCCTCCTGTGACAGCCTGCCCCTCGGGCTCCCCACGCCCTCCTGCCCGGCCTGCTGGTCCCCAGAGAGCCTGTTAGTTACCTGCCACTTGCCCAGCCAACCGGAGCCGGACACAGGAGATGCCCCTAGTCTTGCCACCCCCATCTTCAAGCACCATCCTGGCGCTCAGCTATTATTTTTACATTTCTATTTTCCTTTTCACTGATCTAAGAGGAAAGAATCCTCCTGGGAACTCAGGGGCAACCATGGCCTCTTCCTGGGAGGGGTTGAATGGGACCTTCTTTGACAGGTACAAAGGACACCCCCCCTTCACTTGCCTATACACACACACACACACACACACACATACACACACACACACACACACACACACACACACACACGCCCTCTTAAAGTTATCGTTGCCTCTGGTGGCAGTTGGGAGAGATCCTGTAGTTTTGTCCTGGGTGGGTTTTATGAAGGTCATTGGGCCATAAACCTTTGTCCAAGGCATTTGTTTAGCACCCACAGGCCTTGTGGGGAATGCTGGGACACTGGGGTGGGTTGGCCTCTGTGCCTGCTCAAGGGGCACCCAGCTTGGGGGGGCGGGGCACGTGGGGAGGTGGGCACAACTGAGGATATGATCAAGAAACCAGGCAGGACATTTTCAGGGAAGAGGGGGTGTCGTGTGGGAGTTGGATCCTCCAGCAGCTGAACAAGGTTGCCCGGCGTGGGCGAGGTCCCCAGGGTGGCCAGAGTGTGCTGTCTCTTTTCCATGCTGCTGCCCCCTCCACGGCCCCCGCTCCTCCTCCCACAGCCATATGCGGTGCTGGGGCTGGGCCCTTCCCTGAGTCCCGGCCAGCAGCGGGTCGATGATCTGACACCACTTGTCCTGTCCCATCTGGCCCTGAGCTTTTTCTGGGTGTGTGTGACAAAGGCTTAATCTGTCCGGACCGGCCAGGGGGCTGAGAGGAGGGCAAGGGGAATTACACTCTGCCTGGGCCTCCTGCAGCTGGGGCCCCGTGGGGAGTGGGGCAGGGCGGGGGTCAAGCAGAAGCCTGGGCGCAGAAGCCTGGGCGTGGGGGGTGGGCGGAGAGGCAGGTTGGTCTTCAGTTTGCAGGTTGTCACAGGAAATAGAAGTAGAGGCGGAGGGCTGAGAGAAGGAGGGCGGAGTCCCCCGCGATGGGCAGGGGTGCTCACGGGGATAAGATCTTTTTATGACGAGAGCCAGCCGGGCCTCCTGGCTGTGCGGAGCCTGGGTAGGATTTATTATTTCTTGGGTTTGGACTGCTCTGGCCTCCCTGGCCTGCCAAGCAGGGGAAGCAAACCCCTCGGAGGCAAGACCCTCTGATTCCGGTTCCAGCGTCGGCCACAAAATGAACCCACCCTTTCCTTTTCCTCTGGTCTCTTAGGGCGGGACTGTCCTCAGGGCCTGCGAGGGCCACGGGTTATGTCTGGGGTGGGGCCCTGGGCCATCCGTCAACTCCCCGGACCAGAGAGCCCCAGGGCTGCTTGGAGAAAGATGTTCTCAGCCCAACTCTACCATCTTCCGGATGGGAAAGCTGAGGCCGAGGGAGAGGGCGTTGCCGTGGGTAGGGAGCCAGGACTGGAACACAGATCTCTGTGCTCCAGTGCGGCTTCCCCGTGGCCCGTCACGTGCCAGGATGCTCCCTGAGGGGAAATGCCGGATTGCCAAACTCCACTCTCAACACCAGGCCCTTTTGAGCAGGACCCCAGGTGTTCCGCAGGCCAAATTGACTAATGGTGGTCTTTTCCCAGTTTGCAGACAGCGTTCATTTAGTGGAGAGCATTTTCGCAGTCTTCAGTCTTTCTCCCCAGAGCTTTTGTGTAAACCTTTGGCACCTGCGGCCGCTGGCCTGGGCGGCAAACGGCCTCTGACGTAGCACAGTGTAATGTGTGCTGTGACCTTTGGTCGAATACCTTCGTGTTTCTGCTTTTCTTCAAATTATCGCCAAGGCGACCCTTTCTGGGGTACTGCTCTGTGCCTGTCACTGTGCTGAGAGGCCAAGACACAGTGGCTTATTGAACTCTCACCGCAGCCCAGGTCAGTGCTGCTCTTGTTGCCATTCTTCGGGTGAGTAAACTGAGGCTTAGGGAGGCTCAGAGCTTCCCTAAGGCCACTGCTGATGGGGGCAGACCCTGAGCTCCGGGACAGCCCTCACACGTGTGCGTTCTGGCCCTGTCTGAGGTGTCTTGCAGCCTGACCCAGTTTGAAAGCCTAGGTCTTTTATTTCATTACCCCTGAATCTGAATCAGTTGAGAAGAATCCCTCTGATCAGCGCGTCCGTACCCTTAGCTGGTGCTCGAGGCAGGACTGGCTCCGTGTGAGGTGTCTGAGGGCTGTCCTGGGCTCACTGGGACGGGAATGGGGTAAGAAGGGAGGAGGCCTCTGCTGTCCCAGGTCCTGGGGGGCCTTGGGGAGAAGGCTGACAGTGGCACCTGGCAGGGCCCAATTTGGATTTCTCGTGGCCGAAGTGGGCTGCTTGTTCATTAAGCCTCAGTAATTCTGAATCTGGTCTTGGGGACTCCGGGGCTCTGTGTTTTGGATTGTGTGTCGTGCTGGAGGAC